GCTTGCCCAAGTGACAAGTGTCCTCACAGAGCGGCCAACAGGACTTCCAAAAGAGAGCTCCCAAAGAGCTAGACAAGGTCCCCAAATGCAGCAGTTCCTATGTCACTACTGAGAAGGGAAAAGCACCAGTTTGAGAAATACAGAAGATATCTTGATGAGGATTTGATCAGATATCCATGTGTCTGGGGCTAATAACTTTTTTTGATAATAATAATAAAATATTTAAAGGATATGCATGAACTATGTGTGACCTACCTTAGCTCCCTCTGCTGTGCCAGCAACAGGACAGTGTTCTTCTGCAACTACAGAAATGCTGAAAGAGAAACGAAAATGTTTTCATTCTTTTCAATCATCAGTCAATCACCTTTTGGCTTGCCCAACTGATCCTACAACTCATTCTGTAATTATGCTTGCTTGTTTGGCACCGGTTACCTATAATAATAATTTTCTGGGCAAAAAATAAAATTCTACCGCAGCAGCAAAACTACATTTGGGCAAAGCTCTTAATATTTATTTGCTTGAGGGAAAGAAAAGATATGAGGACTCTGCAACCTTTATCACTGCCAAATTGGAAGGTAATATTTAATGGATATTAATATTAATTATTTCAGTTAAAAATATACCATTATTTGTATAAAGTTAATTAAAAGCTGCCTTAACATGCCTACCTTTGTTCAAGAAGACCACCAGGGAGTTTTTCCAGCGAGGGAGTTTTTCCAGTGGGAAATTGGTCCATTTTCAAATGTTGTGCTGGGTGGAAGCCTTTGAGCACTGGTGTTGCTTGTTTTGCAGTTGTATCCTCAGGGTTACCAAGAACAGAAGGAACCCTCCGAAGAAAAGCTCTGCTGGATGACCTTGGAGTTGCCAGTTTTTCAGAAGTCTGCTGGGAAGATCTGCAAGGTGTCTTTGAAAGTGTGTCTGAAAAAATGTGTTTAACGTTTCATTACTACAGCAGCTTGTAGAAGATGAAATTAGCTGTTTGTTTGGATTCTAGCTAGGAATACTATTGTTTTCTGCTTGCTCAATTATCTTATACAGCTATTGTATGAATTCTTATGTACACTGCAAGGAGAAATTGAAAAAAGGTGACAAGAGTAGGTCAATAAGTTACAAAATTACGTTAACTCCAGGTAAGCAATTTAGTAACGACTATTGCTTCACAAAGAGCCTGAAATAATGAGATTTCCTGTTCTTATTAAAAACTCCTTCTGGTAAAAGTTGTCATTAATTTCCAACTTTCACATTAGATAATTACAATAGAATTAAAAAGACACAGACCCAGAATTGATTCTTTTAATGGATTCTCTGCTTGCCTAAACCCAGTGTTGCTCAAAGGTTTTCAGAAAGTCTCCTCTACTCACAGAGAAAAAAAATGCTAGTCTTGTGATGAGGAAAGAGATCTACACAAAAAAATAAATTAGGAAATTCAAAGTCAAGTTATGAATTGAAATGGGAGAGAAGCAGAATGGCTCCCAAACAGTTAAGGATTACTGAAAATACTGGCTTCACACAGATTGCAGTGAGATAGATACTGAAAATTAAAGTTATATTTCTAGCATCTGCTCAAAATACCCTATTAACCAGCTTTTATAGCAGACTGGGATTGTGTTACAAACTTGTTGAACATGAACACAGAGTACAGGTAGATTTTATTTGCAGCTTTGAAGAATTCACTGCAAGAGATTTAGTTAAAAAAAAATCCCAATTCCTGTCTTACAAATAGAGGACATCAGCCTGCACTGACTTTGATGAACAGGTTTGTCAGCTAAGTCTGGGAACACTCATATTAAAACACTATTGTTAAACATGTGCTGAAAAAAAACACCAAACCAGCTGCTTTCTCCTCTCTGTCTAAGCAGAGATTTCACGGTGTCATAATCACTCAAATCAATCCACTCATGTAGAACAGTTTGCTTTGGATCCTTGACGTAATTAACCACGAGTTAAATACTGTGTCCAGTACTGGAGTTGTATCCAGTATAAACAGCAGAATTCCTCTCCCCAGTGAGACTGGTTACACTCCAGGTCAGAAATCATGATGAAGCTTCACCCACCTGGAAAGGTTTTCACAGGGCTTTCAATTCTGAAAAATCCTGCTTCAAAAACCACTTTTTCTACTTGTGTACAGTCAGCAGCTCCGTCATGCTTCGCTTGGTCCCTCAGAGCTGCTTTTATAGCAGCAAGCCGGTTTTGGGCAGCAGTTCTTCCGGCCGCTCCCAGCTTTGGTTTAGACACTCCATTTGGAACAGTCTTTTTCTGAAATTGTAAGAAAGTCTAGGTCACATCCAGAAGCTTTAGATAGAAGCAATTGCACGTGAACATCTACGCAGCTGCTGCCACACAGGGATAGCAACAGGCAACACAAACGCTGGCGAAAAGGTTTCTGCTCATCTCCAGAATGTCTTGGACTGCCATCAAGGTTAGTTTGGGATGACAAGGATTTTTCATATGGAGTCTGCAGTTCAGAAATACTCAGTACAATGTTTTTTATAACAAGTCCAGTTAACATTTTTGAAAACAGTGGGATACAGGGGCTCCTAGTGGCAGGCAGATGAAGTACCTGCCAGACAGACACCAATCTTAATCGATGATATCTCTCCTGGCATTCAATTTTTCAAAGGAAGTTTTGTGTCTTGTACCATCTGTAGGTTTCTGACATTTATGGTCAGCTCACACAGACTACATTCCCTCTGTTCTCCTGTGCCTGCAGCTTCTTGTCAACCTCCATATAATTTTAAAGATTAGCTCAGCAGTCTCAAGGAGCTGGACATAATTTAGGCAATGTGACTATGAGCAGATATTCAGTCATTAGAAGCAATTGTACATTCCAAACCAAGGAGCAGATAAAATACCTTACAACAAAGCTGATTTTGCAATAATCAATAACTTATTTTGGATAGTCTCAGATCCATTTATGCTTAGAGAATTAGTAGTTTAATGCCACCCACGGTGCTGTATCAATGGGACATTATAATTTAGCACTCGTGGCTCAAAGCTGGCAGTCACTGCCCAATTCCTGTGTGGTTTCCTTTTCCGTTACGTCAGTACATCACCAGGGGCCTAGAGAAAGAGTTCTACATCTGAAGGGTACATTTCTATTCTAAATTTAAGAGACTTGCCTTACTAGCAAAGAGCCCAATGACTCCAAAAGACTCATTGTTAATTCTCAGTTCTAATCTTCCTAGCTAAGAGAGGGAAATAACATTACAAACAAGAATTAACACAAGTGCACTTGGGAGATTTCATAGAATCATTAAGGTTGGAAAAGACCTCAAGGATCATCAAGTCCAACCCAACACCACCTAACTCACTAAGCCATGTCCCGAAGCACCACATTTACACGTTTCTTGAACACCTCCAGGGATGGTGACTCCACCACTTCCCTGGGCAGCCTGTTCCAATGCCTGATCCCTCTTTTAGTGAAGAAATTTTTTCTAATATCTAGCCTAAACCTCCCCTGGCACAACTTGAGGCTGTTTCCTCTTGTCCTATCACTGGGGATATCCTTGAGACGCAAGGGAGAAGGGGGCACCTTGAGAGGAACTTCACGGAGTTTTTAAACATCAACATCTAAAGAAGCCCAATGAGTAGGGCTTTTAGAAGGAACTTCCATTTAAGCATATTATTCATTACTGCAACAGTAGCTCACTAGTTATTTTAGCTATCTCAGCACACTGTTGCATCTTGATGCCTTAGGAGACATGCTTTAGAGGTTGTTCATACCTTGACAATTGCTTTGCTTGGGACATCAAGTGGTTGCCACCCATTGTCTTGAAGCTTCTTCAGATTATCAAATTTTTTATTCACATCTTCAACCTATCGGAAAAGTCAGGAAAGTCCAGGTTTCATTTGCAAGAGTTCTCAGATTCACAATAGAACAGTGTTTCATCAAATCAGATAACAAATTTAAGCACAGTTACGCATTTAGGTACTTCAACTGATATTAAGTATTAAACATTCTCATACAATCGACATGAAGGTTATGCTAACATACACAAGCTTCTGATTAAATGACAAGACAGGTATCATTTCTGTAGTTTAAAGGTTAGTAGGGGAAGTACAGAATCATTCATTAAGATCTGACATCTAAAACGAAGGAGCTGGTTTACAACCTGTTCTCCTGCTGAACTTAAGCACTTCCACAATGGTCGCACTTAAGGAATGCAAAAGAACATGTTGCACAATCATTTTTGTGGCAAACACACACGAGTGAGTCTTCTATTATGCAGGAAGCATGCAGTGCAAACTTGTTTGCTCTCTTCAACTGCTGGCCTGAGCATCTTCATGATGCCATCTGTGCTTCTTTATGACATCCTGCGACTAGAGACAAACTAGCTCTGCAGCTTTACCTCCTCCCTGACTGCCACTCAGCACAACAGCCTTGGCCTCCTCAGGCTTTGTCATGGAGACACTTGCCTCCCTTCCCAGTAAGGCCATCCCAGGTTTGTGTGCAGCACACCAGTCCTGGGAGTGACAAGTCCTTTACATCCTGCCTGGAACTCAGAGTACACTAAAGATTAATGCAAAAGGGACACAGGTAGCAATCACTCCAGGTTTATCTAAGGGAAAAGGTGGGATGCTCAGGAGAAACTTGAGCTGCTCCCAGATAGCTGGTAAGCAGAGGTAAACCCTGTTTTTCCAGTCACTGGTTCCAGCAAAGTTCCCCTCCAAGATTTCTGACAAAGCAGATCAAACCCTTAGGCTTTCTGGAGAGAATTCAAGACCTGTGGCTAGGACCTTAAAAATAAATCCATCTTTGCATTTAATTTAACTTGTTACACTCAACTTTGTTGAATGCTGATTTACAAATACCGTCGAGAGCTATTTTGATCTTTTAGAATATTATACTTCATTCTGAAACCAATGGAAGCATCAACAAAGAAAGAGAGATGAAGGCTATTGTAGTTTCTGCATTATTCTTCTTCACAGAACTCCTACTTTTCAGGTGAGCTCCAGGAATTTTCCAGAAGCTCACAGCTTTTGGTCCAGGTAGACATCATGACTGTATCCACACTCCAAACCAGAATGTGACTTGGCTACACACCTTCATTCCAGAGGAAAAAAAAGATACACAGGCCACAAGACTACACAACAGATGAACAGGTCCACGAATTAAAAATTGTAGTATATCAACTGGTATGATTCACTGTCAGGATGTGTTAAACAAGGACCTGTGTTTTTTATATAGAGAGATATATATATACACAAAAATCTGAATATTCAAAAAACAAAAGAATAATTTCAATCCATTGCTTGTAAATAATCCCATCAACTTTAACCTAGTAGGTTAACACGTAAGTACATACCTGAAAATTAACCATGTCCCAAAATCCATCCAAGTCTGCACAAGTTGTTTCTTTTTCACCCCGTTTAAATTCACAATTATCCACCAGTCCTTCAAACTGTTTAAACCTTTCTGCTATGAGCAGTCTTGTCTGACCAACAGTGGTGCGAATAAGATCTTTAGCTGGTAGCAACAAGAAAACAATAAAGAAAGTACATCTTGGAATAATCCATCATTTCACAATTGATTTAAAGTATTTGAAGAGTCTGGAATTTGTTTACTGTTTGAAATATGTTCACCTCTTGCAGCCCTGCAATACAATTCAGATGGAGCATACCTATCCATTGAACTACTCTGAACTTGCTTCTTCCAAAAAAAGTTACTATCTCTGTAAGTCTTTTAAGATAAGGACAGTTATTCTGTGTTAAAACCTAACTTTAATTTAAAAGTCAGTTTGGTTAAAGTTCACACATTTAAATACATTTAAAACTGCCAACAGAAAAACTGTATCAATAGACACTTTGTTCACTTTAGTGTTAACCACTATCATGTCAAGCATTACACAAAAGTTTTAGTAGTAGGAGACAAAGCACTTCTTTCTGTCTTGAGGCAGACACAACTCTAAACATCTAATACAGCTTTTACTAAGTGCTATAGACAGTGCTATTTTGCAAATATATTAATGTACTTCCCCCTGTCCCCTTCAGTTACCATAATACCCCTCCTAGTGCCTAATACAGTACAGTCTTACCATCCTCTGGAATGTCCAACTCAAGTTTTCCATCCCACTGGAGGCACTGAGACATGAGCTTCTCTGTCTCAGACCGAAGAATATTTCTAAAAATAAAGGGAGAGTGAAAAAAAGTTTTTGGAGAATATTTCCCTGCTGTCACTGCTTGTGACTGTTAATGATTACTGTCCTTTTGCTTTCAGACAAGCTACACTGTCTGGAGCAGAAGCCATTAGCTTGTTTTAGTTTGCTGACTAGCTGAGATTCAATTTATTTTCTGCTGCTTTCAAGCTTGTGTTCCTTAGGACAAGGTATTAGTCTCCAGAACTTTATATTCTTTGCACAAACAATACAAAAGGGAAGATAAGAACGTGTGCCTACTCAGGTCACTGCTGACAGACACCAACCAGCATAAGCTAATCTTGGCAAGATGTCTCCTTACCCATGTGAAGGACCTCAGTAGGGACAACGGGGAATTGAAACAAACGGACACCAACCTGAAGTAGGGCACATCATGCTCTTGCTCTCTTATATCATCTGACTTCATTTCAAGAGCTGTCACATCTGTAGAGACAGTTGTTTCATTTGACCTCTGAATGGAAGTTTTCTCATCTGATTCACTTGCTGAAAAGTACAAAAGGCATTTGTTCAGAATCTGGTGAAAACTAAAAACATTAGAACAATAAACCAAATGTGAATTTCCTACCTTTTGCTCCTTTCAAACTTGGAGTGGTTTGCTGTTCTTGAATGCCTCTACCAGCTCGTGAAATTTGACTTTTCAAATCAGGCTCTTGTGCCTTAGTTTCACTGGATTTCTCAATGATATTACTGGAAACAAACAAAAAGCACATCTAGATTAAGACACACTGAGAAACTGACATCAACCATGACCAAATACACAGAAATGCACAATTTAGAAGTAACCCTACACACAACACAAGAGAACTCAAGCAAATCCTAATAGAATGAATAAATCTTTGCAGAGATGTATATGGCACGGTCCCCAGTATATGGAGCTGCTCTACTTCTAACCCACAGACAGAATTATGGATTATATTGCTTGCTTTGCTCTTGTATCAAGTCCACATTTAAGCAATGATAGCAACCATGATGAGCAACTGTTTCAACATCACAACAGTTTGTTACACAGGGAATATCTCTACAGAAGGATGTTTGCTGTAGCACCACAGAGAGTTTCATTTGCACTTTAGCCCATTAGAAGAAAGAATCTTACACTGGAGATTTGGAAAAATCCCAGAAGGCATTAGGTGTCAAAAATGCATTTGCCCTAGATGGAGTCATGGGTGTAACTTTGTAGGTCGCTAATCCATTTAATGGCTGAAACACAAAGTTTTGAGGTGCAAAAGAGCGTGTTCTGGGTCTCCCTGGAGGAGAAGTGTTTTCTGCTGAGGTTTGAAATTCTGTCAACACTGAGTGTTTAGAATCAGCTGCAGAATCTTTCATTGCTGGATCCGCTTGAGCTTTTTTACCCACTTCATGTTTAGAAGGAATCACCTAGGAAAGCACAAAGTGAACGCTACGTTATCAAATCAATTAAGTGTTTACTGCAGGCATGGGCTGAATTATAACACGACACACTGAAAGCCATCAGGAAGGGAACAGTTTCAGGCAAGTTGCTTTCCACAACAGCATACGTGCACGGAAATCATGATTTCTCAATAGACCCAACTGGTTTTGACACCTGCAAATCATTCTAGCAACAGGGGTAGCACTTCACTACAACAACACGCTGAAGGGGCTCAAGTAGCAGAACACCTCACCTACTAAAACAATAATTAAAATTAGCAAATGCTTCCTCCCACTGCTAGAAAAAAATGCTTTAAGGCGATAAGCTCCTCAAGAGCAGAATTACTGGCTCCAAACCCAACGAGGCCTGTTGAATAATCATATTTTATACACATACTCGAATCCAAAAACTGAAGAACAATCTAAAATGAGCTGATAGCTGAGGAATGCAGCCCAAGACAAAGGGAATACAAGTGCAGTTAGAACCACAGAATGCCGTTCAAAAAGGAGAAAAAGTTAATAAATACACTGACTCCACATTCTTAGGAGATGAGTGACTAGATATGCGTTCTGTATGACTTTCTGAGATGCCTACACTGAGATACTGTTAGCTCAAAACAGCCCAAAGAGCTTGGAATGTTTTTCCAGAAAATATGCATCTTCAGTCCATTGAAGGTCTTGTTGTATTTTAGATACCCCTGCTTGGAATGTAAGCCTTGAATTCAACTTTTAGCACACTTCTTGGAATGAGATGACTGAGGTTACAGCACAAGTTTACCAACTGGCAGCACAAAGGAACTCCTGCCTGTGAAGAGGTCCTTATCTGAGTGAAGATATTAGTGCCTCTTACCTCCTGTCAGCGTTTGTGCACAATCACACCAGTTTCACAACAATATTAGAGCACAGCTGCAGCTATGGAAACAGGAGTGGAGATGGGAGGGAATGCTGGATTGCAGAGAAGGAGAAAAATCATTGATGGTTCTTGCACAGGATTGTCAGCACACGAATGCATGTGCAAATTGTTTGGGAACTTGGGTTGGAGGGCTACGAATTCACCTACTGCTGTCTCTATGCAGAAGGAGAAAAGTTTTGTTATAGTAGTGACACTGAGAACCACAATGACTGCCTTTAATGACGATAAATCATCTCTCTCTTGCAGAGGATAACACTTTCAGCCTTATTTTTTGGTGGTTCAAAACCTAAGAATGGATTTATTTCTTAGCTTCTGGAGTCTCATAGCGTTACCTGAGTGGAAAAGGATACATTCGTAGTATGTTTCAAAAAGGAATGAACTATGCAAAATTTACAAACACTGGAAAAAAACAACAAACTAAGCAAGTCTTTTTTTTTTTTACTAGCTAAAACATCAGACATGAGATTGTCATGTAAGAACTTCTTGTCTAATTTAAATCATTGTTCAGAAACTGATTAGTAATCAAGTCATCCATATAAGCAAACTAAAATTGATCTTAATTTTAAAAATATGGCAATATAAATACATACAACTTCTTCCCAAAATCTAGCTTATTAGTGAACTTATATGCTTGAACACAACTATATTGGAGCTACAATTATACTACAATTTGTTATTAGCTCTTAAATCAGTTTTATTGCTTTTCAATTTCAAATATTAAACGACCTACCTCCGTGATGTCAGGTTTGACTGCTTGCTTCTGCTTTCCTACATTTGCTGTCTTTCTTTGTGACTGGTTACCTAGAACGAGAGAAACTCCCAAGAGTAAAAAAAGCATCTGATTATTCACCACAAGATTGCCATAAAAGTCCAGTGGTTAAAGACAGGGAGACTGTTTTGTCTTTTGAGTGGGAGGTCGCTAGAGGGCAGACACCTAATTGCAAAAGTTCATTCAAAAGAAAACCTGACCTAGGATTTATCAGCCTATAAAAGATTTATCACCAAAAACAGATTCAATTAAGGCATTAGTCTTTGGATGATGTCATATACTAAAAATAAAAGGCTGAAAGGCTTGAAGGGATAGTGTCAAGTCAATTTGAGTTCAGATTTTTAATTTCTATATGGCATAGGACTTCTGTTGGTGAATTCAAACTGATACTATCAAAGCTCCACATTCAGCCTAGGGGTTAACTTCTGTCATAAACAACACAAGGGAGACATTCTGGAGAATTTCCTGAGAATAAAAATACATACTGAAAATCTTAGCTTCAGTAACCATTAAGCTCCTCTGTTCTAGTAAACAGACATGGACAAAGAGAAACTCCTGACCTGAAGAACACAGTCTCTCATCTCTTCCAGAGGTTTCTGTTCCTGACTTAATAATCATATGTCCTTAGACAGCAATACACCAAACTAGCAAATCTTTACCAGTTCTGGTTTTTGTTATTTCAGTTCACAATTACCATATTGATGCTCCACACTGATGGATTTTATGGGAAATGGGTGGTTTCAACATCTTGATTTAAATGAGTTCCAGAGGAGAGTCTCAGTGATACAGTATTTAGTCCTTTTCTTACGTGACAATTTGGCATGACTTACAGTCTGGCTGTTCAAAGGAGATAGCTACACCGCAGAATATGTTGTTTCCAGTGCCTGCTTGATGGTATCTCTCTACAGCACACTATTCTAAACACTTACATGTCAGGCTTGAGCTACACAAGCAGGACTATATCCCCTGCTCCACTTACCAGTAGTAGCAGCAGTAGCTGTTGTTTTCAGCATCTGCCTCGCTGCAGAGGCAGCTGCTCTGGTGATGCGCACATTTGAGGTTGTCTGGATTACAGCCTGCAACGCTGTAAGAAATGTTAATTCCACAGATTTCAAAGCTTAATAAGAAGCTGCATTCAAGTAATATAATTGAAAGTTGATGTTTTGCAGAAATCAGAAAAGTGCACTTAGCAATTATTAGTTGCATTCGTTTGCCAGAATCAACAGGTTTTTTTTGTCAGTTCAGTGCAAGCAGTGCTAAAAACGGACAGCACAGCTCAGCCTTGGCATCAAGGCAATGCTCTGAAGGATCCCCATTGAAGATGGTTTTGTTGTACAGTAGCACCTCCAGGACGTGCCTTGGTCATTATATGAAAGTATTCCGAGCTCTGAATTTAATGTAATCTAATCAAGTATTCTTAAAATGAAGATGAATTCTCCCTGGCATATTTTATAAAATATGACTTGAGTCCATGCATTAACCATCTTAATATTTTCATCTTTGTATTTTGGTACTGTTTTTAATTTCCTTAAAAAAATAATAGCATTCTCCTGCACAGAAAAATTTAACAGGGGCTTTTTATTTCATACCCTCCCTTTCTGTATCTGCCTGAAATCTAGTATCCCCACTTAGTTACTGTTAATGCCATTTGTGTTTTTAATGTCATTCAAGCTTCCACAGAACTGCAGCTTGACAAGTTGGGAAAAAAATTCCTAGATAAGCCACTATAATGTTTGATTTATCCAAACATTCACTTCCCTGACATTTTTATACTAGTGTTTAAACACATACAATGTATATTCTTGATTCAGCAAAAGTATTATCAAGCCTAGTGGATGATAATGAAAAAAAAAGTTTTAATTTTTATATTAAATATTGATAATAGATCTTTTCAGTCTTCATTGAAGGCATGACTGAAATTCATTTAGATAAAGGTCTGCTGCTTGCTGATTTAATTAAGTTAACGATGCGAGAGTCATTTCGCTCTCAATTACTGCATATCTTGCATTAACATCAGTATTCCACATGACTTAGCCTTATCTACTTAAGCATGGACATCACTATGCTACCAGGAAGAATTTCTAATCAAAAGTATTCTACTCCTTTAAACAAAGGTGGCATGGGTTGGGGTTTTTGTTTTGTTTTCTTAAGAAATGTAGGTAACTGTCACATAGAAAGTCCCATAATTAGAGACCTACAGAAGAGGCTCTTGCAAAACATGAAAATATAAGATTGTACTTGTCATTTGTTAAAGACGACAATCACACATTTACTCAGTTGCATTAGTGTGCATCAGAAATTTAGGGTCCTATCTCCAACATGATATATATATATATATATATGTATATATATGCACTAATGTGCTTTACCAGGCAGCTATCCTTTTCCAAACCTTTTTTAATGCCGAGTTTCAGAGAACACAGACAGACAATAGCATTTCTGGTGATAGACAGAAGACAGGCTTCACTGAAAATATTTACAGCTGATGCAATCAGCTATTTTCCAGGTTACCCACAATACCAAGGAAAATTAATATTTTACTTATAACAGCTATTCTTCATCTTTCCAGGTGAAGTAATTTGCTCTTCTGTAACAGCAGCAGCTATTATATGATACTCTTCTTAGAGACAAACAGAAAGCTCCACACAGCTCCAAATGCTGAAGCAATAGTCATGCAATTCTGCCTACTGACCTTTTTCTTTTCCCTCTCCTAGGGTGAATAATCAGTAACCAGGACAGCATTAAGTATCCTGCGTGCCATTTTCCCAGACTATAGAGGCAACAAATGCATGCGATACCTACAGTCACACATCTGACAGTCTGCCAGCTGCTGCTCTTGTCATAGTTGGTAGGAATGGTCGTCATAAAACCTCCTCATTTCCTACCCAAAAATGTAGTAAGGATGTCTCGCAAAGGTATTCGTTACCCTCCCTCCCATAATGTCACAACTACTGAGTAAGAAAAAAACAACAGCAGTGTCCCTTCAGATTCCGAAGTAGGGATCATTCTACTTTCATACCTTTCTCTTTTTCGGCCGCTTTGTCTGCACTCATCTGTTTACGTCCTGCTTGTGTAGGGCGCACATTATGCCCGTTGGCACAGACCTAGAAGAGAGGATTGTTTTCCGTGAAGCATCAGATTTCCAGAAATAAAGTAGCATAATTTCTTTCATCTTTCTATTCCAGGTTCCAGTAAAACAAACAGTGAATTAATTTGTTACAAAGGGCTTTAAAAAGTAAAGAGAAATTAAGGGTAACCAAAATAGCTCGTTTTAGACATGAGTTGACGTAAGTCATCCAAAATCAATAATTTGTTAGAAAAAGAACTAAGGAAAATGTTTAAGAAATGGTTTCAATTTACTGTGAAACTAGATGCCAATTACTACCACATCTTAGTATGTATTAGGTGTTCTAAAAAACAGTTTTCAAAAAAAAAAATCAATATTAACTCAGTCATCCCTTTGTAAAGTTATGACTAGAAATCCTTCAAATGCATTGAAGTTTTGTCAGACAAGATTGAGAGATTCAAATTATAGTTTCTTTTGACAGATTACTGCTGGTGAAATTCCTCAACCCCCCCTATTTTTTTAATATAATAGCAGATGGGACTGCCAAGATTCACAGTAAAAATACGCCAACGTTGAATTTGACTTTGAATGCTGTTCTGAGCAGTAAAGATTTATCACGGGTGATACCTACAATAATTGCATCTCAACAAAATACATCTCCATTTATAAGGCTTTGAGGAAAAATTTTATAGAAATTTGCACAAATGCCACATACTGACTTTGACTTTCAGTATTATAAATGAGTACAACCAATGGCTCAGTACAGGATGGAAAAGGCAAGGCAAAAAAGCTATTCTCCGTAGCTCAGTTCAGCACAACGCGGTCTACCAGCTTGCTGAAAGCCTTTCTGACCTAATTTGTCCTTCTCACCAGGAAAACCTCCTTAGAGACAGCACTCAACATGTAAGCATACAACTCTGAGCTATGGTCTGAAGGAAAATTGCAACCTTTCTATAAATTTATTTGCTGAAGTTTATTCCAGCCCTAACCATTCTATGATTCTATATAAAAAACCAAACCGTAGAGGGCTTAGATGCAGTTGGTATCACAGTTTTTTCTTCTTGGTTCTTGGCCTTTGATCGAGTAATCCTCCCGGAGATAGCAGGTGCTGCCTGGAAACATCCCCAAGGAAACAAGAGTTAACATACTTCTTTTCCCTGCATCACTGTCAGAGTGGGCAAGTGTGAAAAGCAACATGCCCGTGCACTAGAGTGCCAAAATGGGTCAAGTGTGTAACTTGAAAAACTTTCAGAGTCAGGTAGACTAAATAGGAGCAATTACCAGTTCTAAAATAATTTAGGTGTGGTGTTTCATTTGTGGATGAACCATAACAGTTTTTGAACTGAGAACATAGCGATAAATACAAAAATCAACATACCATTTGTACTATTCCCTGTTTTGTTTTAAAAAACTGAGACAAAAATGCTCCCTGAATGTTCCTTCTTATAAAAAAAAGTATTTACCAAACACACTGGATATTTTGCATAACATGCACATAACTTTGTATAAAAATAGAAACATTAACATATCACCTATACTTAATTTAGATATTTAATATTACTATTATTACCTTCTCTTTTGGCTTCACTGTCACAGGATCTTCAGTTACATGTGAAAGAAATCCAGGTGCAGTTGGTCTGTATAACCCAACTTTAAACACACCCTTTTTTGCTTTCTCTCTTTGCTCTCTCAGTTTTCGAAGTTCTTTTTCTTCTTTATAGCGCTGTAGCATTTCCTTGCGTTCATTAATCCTTTTGGTAGCTGCATTTGTAGATTGTTCTGAAGCAAAGATGGAAGATGGACATGTAACAAAATCCTGAAGATACTTTTCAGCCAACAATAACCAGGTCAGAAAACAACTCTTCCAAGACAGAAGAGGAACATACAAAATCAAAGAGCAGAAAACTGTCTGAAATCCATGCCTGCAAGTCTTACAGTGCAAATATATGTCATCTATTAGCTTGCTAAAAGCTTAAGTTACTTTAATTCTTTTAATCCTTCCTACTAATAGAGTATTCAATGGTAAATTACAACGTACCAAATCTGCACCTGAGGGATACCGTAAATTAATTTCCACTCTATGGTGTACAGGTTGCTCCTGCAAGGTTACTAGTATTTAAGTTCACACTTATCTACTTATTTACTCTATTTGTACCAGTTTCACTATCCAGACACCTGTAATACGACTGAAAGATGAAGTTTAGGTTGGCTTTAGATACCAAAGTCTGCCTCAGGCTAAGAATAAATGAGGCAGATGTTATATGAATGAATAAAACCTTAAGATTATGCTAAACTTCAACTACATGTCTGTCTGAAAAATTAATAGCTACTTAAGAGTTAAAATTTATTGAAGATAATCAAGATAAAAATTTCTTAAATTTCATATTTGACATGATTACAAGGGATCGCACTCCTTCCTCCAATATCTTCTGCTATCAAAACACTGAAGGTGAAAATATTTCTAAAGAAATCTGTTAACATTTTTGAAGATTAATTTCTTAGACCATAAAGTATCCAGGAGAGCCAGGGCGGCAGAAGTCAGTATATATTCAAGTCCTGTTTTCTGGGAGGAAAGACAAGTAATTAAAGCCTAGCAATTTTAAAAATAAAATTATATTAGGCATTTACCCACTTATAACTATATATACCCAATTGTAATACACAATCACTCCTTTCTAAGCATACTTTGACCCCATGACAGACACCAGTTATTCGTTAGATGAGATTTTAGAACAGAATTTTTCACTTCTTGAACAACAAAGCAATCATTAAGAGACTTCCCATTGAATATTAATAGTAAAATGCATTCTTCCTTCAGCTGCTGCAGACAGATCAGAGCAAAGCCTCATTCATACCACTGGAGCAGCGAGGAGGATAAAGCTGCATTAAGACTTTATTTTCCTGATTTCTTAACAGTTAGAAGAACCAGTAGTCCTGGGTTTTTAAACCTTTTATTCAAATTTAAATGTTGAATACAATTAAGTTCTTGTGCTGTTACTACATCTACTTAAAAGACATTTTTAACAATTTATAAAAGCTTTATAACAAGTCTTCACTTACTCTGCTTTACACTGCTGTTCTCTTGAGAGCACATTTCACTTGTCTCATTTAGTTGAGAAATTCCCCTCTCTTTTGACAGCTGAACATTGACATCTGCCAGTCCAAACTGTCTGCCCTTTTCAAACATCTTGTGTCTGTTCTCCTTTTGAAGCATTGATTTTCTGCGTGCAACTTTTGTTCTGAGAGTTTCCGTACTCAAATCCTTTTTGTATCGACTGGCAAACTGGGAGGTCGCAGCCATCTTGATAAACCTGGACAAAAAAAAAAAAAATCACACATTAGGAAAAAAAGCTGTCCTATTTTGTTTTGTCCTTTTCACGAGAGTCTGCATGTTACAAAGAAAGCCCTAGGTTCTTCATTTCTGTACGTGAACTGGAGAAAACGCAAATGACAATTTCAGCAACAACCCTTCATGATTTCTCTTAATTTTATGTATTCAAGGGGCCAGTTTGTTTGTGAAGCGGTCAGCGAGTCTGACACAGAATTAGTAGGGGATGCTGTGTCACTGCCAGGGATTGTCCTGCTGATCTGTTCTCAACACAGATGTTTTTCATGTTAAGGAGACAAGCAAGAAAATGACAAGGTTGTAGGACAATACTTGGAAGCAACATTGCCACTGAGCGTGTAGATTATACCCTATCTGATGGCAAGGCATTTTTGTCATGGATCAGAGTACTTGGCACCATTTCCCAACCGAGTTTCCAGGATGCAACCGCAATACAATAGCATTTATTTCAAGCAGGATTTCTCCCTACTTTTTTAACCCAAGGAAGACTTGATGCAAACATCAGTTGGTCTGTACGTGCTAACAGCCATGTAAAAAAACCCCATCCCCTAATCCCCGCTGAAGCCCATCTTGTTGAGGGTTTTCATGCTTTCTTCCTGGGGAGAGGTCAGGATCCATTCTTGCAATCGGTCTTTTAGAAATCTCCTCTTCCTTTACTCATAGGAAACAGCTTTCCAGTAAGGACAGCGATACCGCTAAGCTAAATAGCCAACCCAGTTACCAGTAAAGTGGTCATTTACTGAGGTTCATAATTTCAAGACAGAAAGCTTTGATCAAACTAAACAAATCACCAGTGAACTGGACTGAAAAGATCAGCCTTGACTACGGGTGTACAGGATTTCTTAAAGTCAATTCCTCCTCCTACATTTGCTACCAAAAGCCAAAAACAACACCAGCAGCCTAACTGAAAAACCCAAATGTCAGAAGAAGTGTACCAAAATAAACAAAGAATACAAAAATAAATAACAATGTACTCTGAAACTGTATATACTTACGGAAAAAGCAAGCAAGGAGAGGATCTGAGCTACTGTAAGAAGGAATACAGACAAAGTCTGTTCAGATGCCATCACTGCTGGCAGTGGCAGCTCCTTGTGCCCCAGTTCATGGCAGTACTCACGTAGTAAGTAACTTGAACAGCACCAACAGTACCTGCACAACCATGGGGAAGTATTTGGAATAGATACTGGAGATAACGTATGAGTCAGAAATCTAAATGGGCCTATATCACTTCCTTTTTTCCCATACTTTCAGTGCTGCAGGAGAGCAAAGTGGTCAGTGGAAGTGTAAATGAGCAAATGGGAACAAAAAGCAAAACTCAACTTAAAGCATTCAAATCAGAGACGAGATCTCTTCCACATAGTCCTGAAAGAGCTGATGCATGCCAGTGCCATCTGATTTGTGAACATCTCACCTTTCATCCTGCATCTTATGTTCCAACTTTCAGAAATTGATTAAAGATATCAGTTAGTTAATAATGATTACAAATGATTGACTAACTCTATTGTCATCCATAGGTTATATTTGCCTTGGTTTACATGTAAGCGATTAAGGAAGGTTAATTCATGAGCATCTCCAACAATCATCTTTGAACTGATGTTGTTAGTAATTTCCCATGGCATTACAGAAAGCCATGAAGAAAACAGTCAGTGGGAATATATCTCTACTATCTACATCCTAGAAGAAGCAAGCTTTTTGAGCCCAGTGGATGAAAATCATTCCTAAAAGCAGCAGCAAGAATAAAGTTTCTACACCTGTACTTTGTGGACTTGCAGAACAAGTTCTCTAAATTTACCTTTCGGAGCACATGAACAACTAATTCAGTGCCTTGATGGAAAGCAACATACTGTCTATCCACAGAATATACGTTGTTATCATTCAGGTAAGCTTACAGAAAGCTACACTTGCCTTAGACTTTGATAAATATTTTAACACATTTAAAGGATTTTTATACTCTTCCTTATACTTGAAACCATATTTTCCTAGTTTTTGTAGTGTAAGCCCACTTCTCCCCTGAGTAAGCCTCCAAAGCAAGTGATCTACCTTTCAGAAGGTAATCCTTCAGAAGAACTCACCTGAAACTTGAAGGCAAATACAACATAAGCAGAGATACAGAGAGAGATTCCCACAAAGGTCCCAGGTCAGCAAAAGCAATACAAGAGATTATCCATGATCTCTTTGGGCTCCTTAAAAATGTATGGCATGCTCAAGGTCCTAAACATCTCTTTAGGCTAAAAATCCCTCTCTCCTTTTCTTCCCAGGCTATGGTATCTGAGTAGTACCCTGCACAAAGAGGAGTCCAGCAGATAACTGGAATTTTAATGGGCACAAATAAAAGGAAAGACTGATAGGAGAAAAGGGACAAAGGGTTTAAATAAAAGGAAAGACTAGGGACTGGCTAGCATATAGTACAAAAATTAAAGTTGAAAATGGATGGGACTGAATTTTATGAAAAAGGGGAGGGAAGAGAACCACTTTGGACCAGCAGCACCCCAAGAACCAAACGAGTTACACGGTTATGAAGAACATCGAGGGGCGCAGTTCACATCTTCAGCCTGAACAGTGACAAAGCAGAGCAGGACGAGCAAACACCTCTCTTTTCAAATCAAGAACCCGGCAAGTTCAGGGCCTAGACTCAATGGTTTCGAGAGGGGGCCCCGGGGATCACGACAAAGCGAACGGCACCTCCCAGCCCCCCTCCCCATGGCGGCTCTGAGGGGCCAGAGCCCCCTCAGCCCCTCCATTCCTCAGTGGAGGAACC